GTCTGGGTAAGTTTTGATAAAATGGAAAACGTGATTATGTTGAAGTGTCTACTACCACGCAGAGTTTCAGTGGTATCCCATGACAAAGTGAAATGTCTCACGAAGGGCTCAGGCCTATGGGTAAGGGGGAATAAAGCAAGTTTCTACATGTTCCGGCAGTGATCAATTATGTGGTTAATTTGGGCTTTGAAAAATGACAAGTCGATTGAAAAAGCAGGGACTATGAAACCGGTATTACAGGCAATATGATCGGCAATCGCAAACAGGAAAACAAATAAAAACGGACATGACTGAAAATCGAAAAGAAGAAACACGGTATGAAGTCAAAACAGTATTCAACGACAGGACTGCGTATTTGCGAGTGGACGTGATATGGAGTTATCGGAACCTCGTCGATTTACGATCTCGAGGAATATAGCATCCTTTCCCAATCATGCTTTGGTTCTGGTTGCAGTCCAGAAGCCCACATGTGAAACCGGTACAATGTTCGGTCCTGACCCCCGCGGGATGCAACATCGAGTGTTAGAAGCCAGAAGATCAGACACACTGTGACCGGAGCGTGAGATCGAAGTTACAACTGAGGAACAACGCGTGCGTGTAGAAGCACACTGTGCATGCGAGTTTGGGAGCATACAGCTTTTATGCCAGTGCAGCCAATCGGACACAGGATGCCTAAATTGTACATATCGAGATGAGAGCGGAGTCTGAGTGGTGGCAGTGCATGAGCATGGTAGATCATCAGTTCTGTCTCCGAGAACGTGCGTAGTGCTTGCTACCGCGGTCCTAATTTCCAAACTTTCATAGGAGGCGCTCCCCTGAATGTTAATCGTACATGTGATGTACAACATTTATTCATCGTTGTAACGCTCACTTCACAATCAAACTACTGATTCTATTCGAAAAACATGACAATTGTAGGAAATGGAAAAAACCAAAAGCGGTAACCAATTACACGGCTTTCAAATAACCCCAAGCCAGAAATGCCATATAACGAGTATTTTCTGCCACCTGTTTGGTTCAGTTTAGTTCAGTTTTTACAACCATTAACCATGCACTTTCGTGCGCCGGTTTTGGTTGCCGTCTTTTGGTGCCCCATTTGGATGAAGATCGGAATGTTGAAAGCAACTTCAAGCGGAAGATGGAGAATTCATATAGAATAGTGATAGGGGAATAATGAGTGAATGCACAAGCACCACTGTTTGCAGCCACATCACTCACTGTATCTAACCATCGGTGACCATCATCCCAAGGTCCCCGGCCAGGAAGTGTAACGGGGGCCTAGTCTCCTGGTTAGGGTTTTCATACCCTCATGCCAGGTCTTCGTTTGACCACCCTTGACCCTTTCCAACCGCTACCTGCCTCGGCAAACATCGCTCGCCGTGGCAACCTATCTGGTGGCACGCGTAACACATTCCCCAACCAACGTAATATATGAAGGTCGACCACTTGCTCCGGTGGACGACCGCGACTGCCTAAAACTCTACGTCTAACCTCGATATTGCTAGTGCGGGTAGCCCACCAGACCAATGCACACCCTGCGATTGCGATCTGTGATTCCCTATCTCTTAGGTACCGCTTTCCGTATACAATAATTTCTTTCCTTTTGCTGACCGCCTTGTGAACGTCACTGCTTGACGTTGTCTGCATAACTTGTGTAGCCGTAAATGGACTGATCCACATTGACATCATACTTGTTTGCAAGCCCGTGAAATATACGTACATATACATAATCAGTTTCGATTTATAAAACCGTCTACCATGAACTTTCGAGGGTCGGTTTTGGTTGACCGCCCATTTGGAACACGGGCCCCAGGAAAATAGGCGTGAGGCAATTAAGGAGTACGATGGCACACTGATTCGTCATCAGCAACATCATCTTGATCAATGGGCTGTACATTTCGAGGCTCGATGCAGCTGGTCCCCATTGATATTTGGCCTACCAAACCCCACCTCGGCTGGGAAAATACTCCCAGTAGACGCCAGTCCTCCATCTGAAATGGAGGTTTCCCTCGGAGGTTGTGTAGATCAAACATATAATTGATTCCGCTTTCCCTTTCAAACCACTAATACGTAGCCACCATGCAGAAGTTATTGGAGAAACTGACTTGCATGGTACAGAGAGGACGGTATACCCCACGCACGTCGACTGTGTGCTTAGACTCCGTCAGAAGATTAGTGATTGCTGTAGCTGCATTTCTTATCAATTCCTGGTTCAACCAGCTAGGAAGGCGCATCCAAATGCAATCGGACTGACCGCAAGAGCACGCGGTATTATGCCGATTTTTGTAATGCATAAGAAAGAAACGCTGGAAGGTGAACAGAGCACGGAGTTCGGGGGGTAAAGTATGTGCGTCTGTCAAGTGGTTGAATTCGTTTACACGTTTTCGCAAACCGTACCTCTCCTGAATGAGGTAGAGATATGAACGGGCTCCTTACCTTACTGTTCCGCGCAATGCCTTGTGAATATATTCTCATTCTATTTCGCCTGTTTGCCGAGCTTGGCAATTTGTTTGCAAACGTTTCATCACCAGCCGAGGTGACATCATCAGTGCTTGTGAAGTGGCAGTGTTCTGTCTGTAACCGTTCGTTTTTATATGCGATCTTCTCCACCGGCTATTTTCGTCCCGTTCTCGCTGTGTTCGACTCGGTCCGCCGTTGAACTGTTGCGAGCGGGTGGGGTGGGAGGGGAGGAAGTTGTCCTTTCGTCCCGATTGC